TCTCCAGGATGAATCTGTTTGTTTTCTTATCAAGCCATCGTACTCAATACTCTTCTCCAGCACCACAGCTCAAAGGCATCAATTTTCCTTCTATTATCCCTATACACTGTCCAACTCTTTGACTCATACCAAATGATTGCAAAGACCAAGGCCTTAGTCAGATGCACAATAGTCTCCAGAGTGATACCATTGTTCTTTAGTACTTTGGGGAGGTCTCTAACAGTAGACTTTCCCATCACAATACATCTTTTAATTTCCTGGCTGCTGGTGCCAAGCATGTTGACTGTGGAGCCAAGCAAACTCTTGATACTGCCAATTGGTCCAGTGGTGAGAATCTTTGTCTTCTTGATATTGAAAAAGGAAACAATATATAGTTTAAAATGAAAAAGTGAATGACTCAGTATTATATTCTCTTTCTATACATATTCAATATGAATGCTGAGCAAATTATTTGAGAAGCTGGACTCTATGCTGAGGAATGTGACATTAAGATCAGAGAAAGACTCATCAGTAACCTGTTTCATGCAGTTAACACCACCTGGATTCCTGAAAGTAAGGAGGGCTTGAAGCACTTGTTGCAGAAGTTCAACAAATACAACTTTCAGTATGAATTACATTTCAACATGAAGAGAACAAAAATTCTTACCTCTGGACTAATAGGCAACATCATGATAGATGGAGAAAAGATTGAAACTGTCAACAACTTCATACTTGGATCCATAGTTAACACTCTTGGTACTAGCAGTCAGGAAATCCAAAGACCCATTGCACTGGGAAAGTCTGCAGTTAGGAACCTCTCCAAATTTTTCAGGAGCAATGACGTCAGTTTGAGGACTAATATATATCTGATTCATGCCATGATCTTTCTAATCACTTAGTAAGCATCTGAAAGCTGGATAAATAATAACGATGACAGAAGAATGTATACTTTTAAGCTGTAGTGTTGGAGAAGAGTACTGAACATCCCATGGACTGCCAAAAGAAAAAATAAGTATGTCTTGAGGAGAGTACAGCCAGACTGCTCTTTGGAGGAAAAGATGATGAGACTTTGCAGGATGTGCTATTGTAGGTCATGATGCTAGGAAAGGTAGAGGACTTGTGAAGGAGAGTAAGACGCTTGATCAAGTGGATTGGCATGATGACTGCCACAGCGGGCACTAGTGTGTCAGATAATGTGAAGATGGTGCAGGATAGGGCAGAGTTCAGATATATTGCTCTATTATTAATCTATTGCTATGGATCCTACTCAACTTGACGGCATCTAAAAGTAACAACCTAGTAATAAACTGAGAAGCTTTCTGGACTCAGGCATGTTTGTATTTTTCTGTTAATTGAGAAGTTCTTCAGACAGAGGAATTGTCTCTCACTGTTAACCTAGATTATAATTTGAGAAGTTCCCTGAATTAAGGCATTGTATCTTACTTTTAGCCTGAATTATGGCCTGTTAGGTATCACATTTGAAAAGCACTTTGAATTGGGAGATTAGATCTTGCTGCTTGCTTGAATTATAGCTTGCTAATGTCCTAAATAAACCTCATAACTGTAAGTATGATTCTGTGAAATCTATGTGGTCATTCTCATAAATTTGGACCCAGTAATCGATGTAAGAGTGTGGGAGGACATGTTAGTTTTGTGTTGTAGATGCTACTGGTGAGAAAAATTCTCCTCTCTTACGTTAGTAGAGGCTGGACTTCACTGTCTCCATGTTGTCCTTGTCCTAATTACAGTGATCCAAGTTTAAGTTCCTAAAGCTTCAGATCCAGTCACTCATTCCTAATAGTTGTTCAGTTATGGTTAAGAAGTTTTCACACTATTACCACTGGTTTCCTTGCATGTTATCAGGAGGAACTAGTCCTTGGAGGCAATGATCAGAACAGAGCAGGGAGACACGGGATGACTCAAAATCAAGAAAGGGATCTGTCAGGGATGTATTTTGTCTACATACCTTTTCACTCTGTATGCAGAACAGATCATCTGAGATGCTGGCCTGTACAAGGAGGAATGTGGCATCAAGATTTGTAGCAGAACCAACAACAACCTGCGTTATGTGCCTGATACAACCCTGAGGAGACCTGAAGTGCTTGATGCAGATGGTCAAGGAATGTATTCTTCAATACGGATTGAAGATCAAATCAAGAAAACAAAGATTCTCACCACTGGGCCAATTGGCAGCATCAGTATGGATGGTGAAGAGATTGAGATAGTTAACAGTTTTAGTTTACTTGATTCCACAGTCAGCACTCTTGCTAACAGCAGCCAGGAAATCAAGAGACTAATTGCATTGGAAAAGTCAGCTGTGAGGGACCTCTCAAGAGTACCAAAGAGCAATGATGTCAGGCTGGAGACTAAGGTGTGCCTGATCCAGGCTATAGTCTTTGGAATTACACACTATGCATCAGAGAGTTGGATAGTGAATAGGGATGATAAAGAAATGATGCTTTTGAGTTGTGCTGCTGGAGAAGAGTGTTGAATATACCATGGACTGCTAGGAGAACAAATAGGTTTGTCCTGTAGAGGGTGAAGCCAGAATGTTCCTTGGTGTCAAGGATGCAGACGCTTCGTCTGACACATTTTAGTCATGTTGCAAGGAGGGACTGGTCCTTGGAGAGAGACATCATGTTTGGGAGAGTGGCGGGACGGCCCAGGAGAGGAAGACCCTCTATGAGATGGATCAATTCTATGAGTGGAGTGGTGGGAATGAGTGTGTTTGAGATGGTGAGATCGGCACAGGATAGAATGGCATTTAGGACTCTTGTACATAGGGTCGCTACGAGTCAGAAGTGACTCATTGGCACATAGCAACAACAATGTGGAAAAGTAGAAGAGAAGAAGACCTTTTATGAGACAGATTGGAATAGTGGTTGAAACTATGGTCTTGAGTATGCTGGAGATTGGGAGGATGATGCAGAATAGGGCAAATTTTCAATCTTTTCTTCAAAGGGTGGCTATGGTTCATAGTCAATTCAGTGACACCAAAAAATTATAACTTACAGCAATATAAATACATACACTGAAATATCTCTGTCAAACTCACTTATTTGAATGTGCAGTAATGTGAATTGATACCTTTAAATTGTGTTGTTGACAAAGACTATTGAATTTTCCTTGAACTACTTTATCAAAAGATGAAACAAATTAATCATGGAGGAATTACAAATAGTACTCTTTAAGGGCAAGAATGGGGGAACTTAGTCTCATATGCTTTCTAGAGAGAAGTCATTACTTGGAAAAAGACATGCTGAGAAAGCTAGAGGGTCACTTTAAGAAAGGAAGACCCTCAGATAAATGGATTGATATAGTGACTATAATAATGTGCTTCAGCTTTAAGAGACTGTACAGAATGAATAGGATAGGACAAGATTCAGACCTATTGTTCAAAGGGCACTATTAGTCTTGGTTTATTATCATATGACACTTTACAATGACTAATCCCTATTTAGCTTCAGTTTCTATCTGAGGTGCTTTACTGACTCTTATTTTTATATAATTTTTTTACTTAACAAAATTATGGCCAGAGATATATAATTACTTTGATGAAGACAATTGGTATAAGTCACTGAAATTATAATTTTTATATTCTGATATTGAGTATCTAGACACTTTGCTATTCAAATTATCACGTTTATTTTTACCGAGATTTCATGAATAAACTCAATTTCTATTTCAAATTCATATTTTTAGTCAAACATAAAGTATTACAGCAATGTTTCCTATATATCAACTGTAAAGTGCTATTTTAAGCTATCTTTGTAGAAATATGAAATTTAAATCATTCAGAGGGGCAATGAATGCATCCGCCTCACTTTCCCAAATAGATATTATTAGATTCCCTGCGGTGCTTACTTTACAGTGCAAATGAAGATGTATAAATGGAGAAATGAAACAATTATGTTCCAATTATTCAATTTTTCCTCCACAAAAGAAGTAAGACCATTAATTAAATGAGATTTCTTTTTAAGCATTTTCTTTTTAAGGAAAAAAAAGGATGAAATATGTTTCCTGCATGTCCTATCTTTACTGTAGTTTTATTAAGGTGTGTTGTGTTAAAATACAATGAGTTATTAGGAAGCATTAGAAACACATGGTATGTAAAGCATTGTGTGGTAGTCTTGATCTTTATAATATCACTCATTGCTGTCCCTTCTGTTTCTAGCTTTTGTGTATCTTTAATAGGCCTCAGATAGCAATCATTTTGTCACTAAAAATGGCTTTAAATAAACATCACATTCTTTTTAAATTCATCCAAATAAAATATTTAAAATGTTTAAATCATCTTTAAAACATTCAGTACATTAAAACTGCATTCAGGATAGTTGTACAGTTTTATATTTTAAAGCTTGTGTTATCCTCATCCATCATATTGTAATCACATTCAGTTTATTTTTATTTCTTTACTTGTTGGTCATATTTATGGACAACAAGAGTTAATCTCGTATGAGGTACCTCAAACAATTTCAAGTTAATCACCCAGACTTATACGTGTACTTTAACTTATGGCATAAACAAGACGGAGTAATTACATTTATGGAAAAAAATGTTGGAGAAGCCCAATATAAGTGTGAAACCTAGTCTAGGTGCTGACTGTGAAAACTATCATCAGTTACTCACATGAAAATGCAAACAGAAGTTAAATCAAATCCACAAGAAGCAGCATTTGATCTTGAGTCTATCTCACTTGAATGTAAAAGCTATCTCAGGAATAAGTTTGAGGACTTGAAAACTAATGGATGAGTACCATTTGATCTGTGGGAGAACATCGAGTGTATTATCCATGAAGAATACACAGGCTCATTACAAAGATAGAGGAGGAAGGAAAGACCAAGACTGATGTTGGAAGAGACTCTGAATATTGCATTAGAGTTCTGAGAAGCCAAAGCAAAGGGATGCAAATCAAGAAGTTAACATTTTGTTTAATAGAATATTTCTAAAGGCAACTTGTGAAGACAAAACCAAGTACTATAATGAAATATTCAAAGAACTGGAGTCAGAGATGTATCAAATCAGATGAACTCTCTAGGCATTTCTGAAGGAACAGAAGAAAAATCATTACAAAGACAAAGGAGGAAAAGAAGAGCAAGATTGATGTCAGAAGAGACTCTGAATGTTCCATTACGGTGCTGAGAAGCCACAGGAAAAAGAAGCAATAAAACAGTTAATTTCTTGCTGAAAGATCTCCAAAGATAACTCAGGAAGACAAAACAAAGTGTACAATGAAATATATAAAGAACTGGAGTCAGAAAAATCAAAAGAGATGAATCCTAGGCATTTCTTAAGGTGAAGGAACAGAAGAAGAAATTCAAACGTCAGATTGTAATACCTAATAATGCTGTGGGCAGAATGTTGAATAACTCAGAAAGCATTAAAAAAAAAAAGATGTAAGGAGTACACAGAGTACCAAAAAGAAAATTGGCTGACACAGAAGAATTTCACAAAACAACATATGATTAAGATCCTATGGTGACAAAGGAGGAAGTTCAAGCTGTTCTGAAGGAATTGACAAAAAACAAGGCACTAGGAATTGATGACACTCCAATTGCCTAAATCCATGCATTAACCTGGTTGCTCCAAGGGATCTGTAAGAAAACTATCTGGCTAGCTGAATGGAAAATATTCATATTTATTCCCATCATTTTTTAAAAAAAGCTGATCTGACACAATATGAAAAATAATGAACAATATCACTAATTAATATCATATGCAAGGAATATCCTGCTAAAGATTACTAAAAAACGACTGAAATAGTATATCAAGAGAATATTGTCAGACACTAAAATTGGGTTGTAAAGGAGAGGAATCCCTTGACCAGGTGGATTGGCACAGTGACTGTAGCAATGGGCTCTTGTGTGTCAGGAAGTGTGAGAAGATTTAGATGTTTTGTTCATAGGGTCGCTATTAGTTATACCCAATTCAATGGCACCTAACAACTACATAAGTCACATGTAACTCAATGGCATATTTATTTAAAATATATACACTGTATACTTACCTGGAAGACAAAATACTATGATCACAAAGCTGGTTTTCCCAGGGCGAGACATGCCCATTGAACTCTGGGTGTGCTGACCCCTGTGATTTCCACAAAAGTAGGAAACTCAACTTCATAATTTGTGGTAGTGGGGGACTAAGTACACCCATAATTAATGACTAGCATGCACACTATCCCCTATAAAAAATTAAAAAGAAAGAAAAAAAGGAGAAAGAAGAGAAAGAAGGAGGAGGGTAGAGAGAATGGTGCAGCAATGAAGGAATGAAAACCCAAAATCCCCGTAAATGTTCATTAAAACTAATAAAATTTAATAAAATATATATATATATATACTATATAATTTAACTTTTATTATCTTTGATTTTTATTTCACTTAATCACTGCAACTCTGGTGTTCTAGTTGTAAGAAACTGTGCTGCAATACCAAAGGCATATAGAATCCACTTCTGGGAAAGAACAATGAGTAGTTGTTCCCCATTGGGACTCGTAAGTGCACAACAACATCTACTATTTCCTGCTATTTTAGCTTTATGCAAGGCAACTACTGTTCTTTTAATTATTTGTAGCTGACTCTTCAAAAGATATGTATACCTTTTAGGTGTTATTATTTGTTTATTTTTTCTTGTTGTTAGGTGTCATCAAGTGGCTTGTGACTAATAGCCACCCTATATACAATAGCTCTGAAGTCTGCCCTGTCTTGAGCCAGTCTCACTGACTCTGATGTACCTAACCCCATTGTCCTAATTGCAGTATTAATCCATCTCATGCAGGTCTTCCATCCTGTGTTGTCCCTCCCCCTTCTGAGTATGATGTCCTTCTCCAAGGATCAGTCCCTCCTGGCTACATGTCCAAAGTATGTGAGACCTAGCTTGAAAATCCTAGCCCTCAAGAAAGAATTAGGTTTCGCTCTCTCTAAGATCTATTTCCTTGGTGGCCCATGGTATGAAAAGACTCTTTTCCATCCATAGTCATTATCCAGCTCTCTGATGCATAGCAAGTGATTACTAGATCAAATGCACCTCAGTCTCTAGACTGACCTTGTTGCTTCTCAGTACTCTGGAAAGGTCCCTGCAGTAGATTGACCTAATGTTATTTGTCTTTTGATTTCCTGACTGCTGATTCCAAGAGTGTTGATTGTGAAGCCAAGCAAGCTGTAACTGTAGACCTGTTGAAAACTGACCCACAAGTGTGAGTTTAATTCCAGGTCTCAAGTGTGAATAAGTATCATAATATGCATGTGAGCTTTGGTTTCTTAGTCCATAGGAAATTTTTATCTTAACCCAAAGGTGGCACTTTTGTTACAGCTGAATTTTTGTTACAGCACCTTCTTTAGAGAAAGATGGAAAGTTTCCTCCCATGACATTTATAGTTTAAGAAAATCTTCAGGAGAGTCAGTGATGAATTAGTTCTGACTGAATGGCAAAAAGCATGTGAATGAGGACAATGAATAAGGAAAATAAAATAATTGATGTATTTAAACAGTAGTCTTAGGAAGAATACTGAATGTAACAGGGACTGCTAATAGAATAAACATATCTATCTTCAGACACATGGCCAGAAGTTACCAGTCCTTGGAGAATGACACCATACTTGGGAGAGTGCAAGGACAGCACAAGAGAGGAAGACCCTGAAGATGATGTATTGATACAGTAACTGTAGTAATGGGGGTAGATGTGTCAGTGTCAGTGAGACAGGCTCAGAACAGGGCAAAATTCAAAGCTATTGCACATAGGGTTGCTATGAGTGGCAGGCAACTTGACATGCACATAGCAACATCAATAATATCCTAGACTAAATTGTCAACAGACTGTGATACTTTGTCTTACTTTGTTGCTGTTGTTGATGTCCATCAAGTTGAGAATGACTCATAACAACCCTATGAACAAAAGGCCTGAAGCCTTTCTATAAGTATCATCATTTATCAAAGTTCACAGAGTTTCCAGGGGCATGTTGTTTAGGAAGTGGATGCCACGCCTGCTTCCATAGTCTTACTTTGGGTGAGTTAAAAGGAGTGATGAGTCTGTAGAGAAAAGCATCGTTCCTAGTAAAGTAGTCACTTATACATTCATGGACTGAGTTGGAGCCAACTTATAATTGACCTTTTTTGTGTTTTCATGGTTATAAATAGGAAAGACGTTGTCTATCTTTTTTCTCAGGAACTGCTGTTAGAACTGCTAGACAGATGCAGTTTTATTTAGTAGCATAATCCCCTAAGGACTATGCAACTAGAGGTTCCTCCGGGTTCATTTACTCCATTCTCCTCTTTGCTTAGTTCATGAATAAATTGTCATATTTCCTTTGGAATGGTAATGTTATTGATGTTGTTAGATAACATTGAGTCTGTCCCTCTATATTGAGTGCCGTTATATAACAGAACAAAACACTGCCAAATTCAACACTTTTTTTGACGTATTCTTAGAACACTATTCTCAAGTCCTTTGCCAAAATTGTTGTTTCTATCATTCTCAGTAAAGTCTTCCTCTTTTCCTCTAAATCTTTTCTATGGGCACTATCTCAAAATAGATTTGATGTTTTGACAGTAATCTCAGATATCCAGGTGCATTGTTGGATGTTAGAAAACAGAAATCATAAGTAAAGAAAGTGAAAGGTCATTAAGAGTTAAAAGAAAAAGTACCAAAGTGGAAATAAAAAGAAGCCTTAAAACTTGCTCTTGAATGTAGTCCTTAAAGTGAGTGGGGGAAAAGGATTAAATAAAAGTACTGAACAGAATATTTCTAAGAGCAGTTTGAAAGTGTTTAATAAAGTAATATGACATATGCAAAAGCTTGAAGTTGTAAAGTATGAAATGAAGAACACTCTTGTAAGAATTGAAGAAAGAAATTAAAGTTTCAAATTACCATGCTAACTGATGCTACAAAAATAATACCAAGCTATACAGGAAGTATAAAAAAGAAGAAGAAAAGAATATTCATAGTGTTATACCAGAAATAATTAGAAAGTAGTATATTACTTGAATCCACAGTCAAAGGTTCTGATA